ATAGGCAAAATACTCGGGACCCAAGTACCTTTAAAATCTGGCCATAAACTCAGAAACATTAGCACAGGTCTTCTTCTATCCCAAGTAGATGCAGTTTCTTTGATCTTAGAAACAGAAATAGGTATTTCACATTACTCCTGAAAGAATATCATCTGCTAGCATGTTGCTCCATCAACCCACTCTGTTAAACCCCTGTCTCCTCCAACCCCCATTAATGTAAATAGCTTCACATTTTGCAGAGACATGCCTCCCACTGATGTCCCCTCTCCTGAACCTCAGGTATCACACAAGATACAACATTACACAGTGGTCCTGACACACACCAACACAAACCTAATAGCTTCCTTTCATAAGTTCACAGATACTTGCAGTGAAGGAAATGCAGTAGTTCTCACTCGTCTGGCCTTCAGTAAGACATTTGAAATGGTGCCACACAGTAAATTATTAGCTAAGATACAGAAGATGTGAAGATGTGCCTGGCATATGAAATGTAAAGTGGGTAAAGAGCTGCCTGAAAGGGGCATGGTAATTTCTGCAGCTGAAGGGTGTGTTAGACTGAAGGGGTTTTACCAGTCCAGTTCCTTGAGTTTCTGCCTCAAAAACTACCCTGCTTAACATTTGCATTAATGGTCTTGGCACAAGAAGCAGGAGAATGAAAAGGGAATTTGCTGATGAGGCAAAATGAGATGCTATCATCAACCTAGAAGAGGTCAGGATATCTCACAGAAGAATTACTATGACCTTGAGGACTGGAGTAATGGAGAAGGGATTTGATTCAGCAGTGCAGAATGTGCTATCATGCTGCTGGGGACAAGTGAAAACAGGAGCAGTCATTCCAGTTTGGGAGGCTGTCAGCTGGAAATGGCTGGGGCAGGGAAAGACCCATGCAATAAAACACAAGACTGTGACAAGACCTTGGTCTTATACAACATGAGAAGAGTCAAAAGCACAAAGTCTGGGTTGAAGTGTTAGGAAAATGAAGGACTGATGTGTGTGAATGCATCAGAGCCAACACCAAGGGTGGAAAAGAGTGCACTCTGGCTAGAAACTGAATGGGAATACAAGTAAAATGGGAAATTACATTTCTGCATGAAAGTTTCTCATGCAGGTTTCTGACTTAAGCAGGGCAGATGAAACACAACCACCACTCAGATGGGTCTCAGTCCTCTTGTGCGAACAGCATGTTTGAGAAGTTAGATGAGCGGTGCAAGCTTCTTTCTGAATTTGAACTGGTTTGTCTTTACAGGAGCCAATTCACAGAGGCGTTTCAGTCCAGTTTAAAAGGTGTCACTAACCATAATGTTGTTTTGGAATCAAATGCTCTACAAGGCTGGACAAACACCTTCAGCACGGGTGGGTGGCAGCTGCCTGTTTTCTTATTCCCAGGACAAATGCTGGATTTACTTGTTCCCCTCCAGGGCTGAAGGTGATCTCAGCAGTTGTGGGGTTTGGTACATGATTAACTGCTTCACTCTGAACCCCTCAGCCTGCTCAGCTCAAGCATTCAGTCTGCAATCACTGAGTAACAGCACTGCTTACCAATTTCCTTGAGTATCCTTTTTGGATGTGCCCTTGCTGCCACATCCCAGGAACATGGTCACCTTAAGCACAGTATTTAAGCCCATCCAATCTCCTTTGGGATTATCATGAGTTTCCATTTCTTTTTTCAGTTTCCTCTGTGTCCTGAGCTCTGATCACCGCTTCCTGGGCTGCCTCTGCTGAGTCAAAAGATTTTTATAATGCTATTTTAAGTTTCCAGGCTTTTTCTGTTAACTTCCTCTTTCTCTGGAATCTCCCTTTCGAATTTACTGGCACCAGCCTATTTCTGGGATCAGTTTGTATCCCTTTCCCCTTGCTCCTTTCAGCTACAGGACATAGGACTGAATCATAGAATAGTTAGGAGTTGGAAAGGACCTTAAAATCATTTGGTTCCAAACCCCCTGCCATGGGCAGGGATGTACCATGGGCAGGGATGTGTCACTTGAGACCATGTCACCCAAGGCTCTGTCCAGCCTGGCCTTGAACACTTGCCAGGGATGGAGCATTCACCACTTCTCTGAGCAACCTGTTCCAGGGCCTCAGCACCCTCACAGTAAAGAACTTCTTCCTTATATCCAACCTGAACTTCCCCTGTTTAAGTTGAAACCCATTACCTTTTATCCTACCACTGCAGTCGCTGATGAAGAGGAATCACACTCTAGGTAGGATTTTGAAGGGTCCCTCCAGGCCTCTCACTTCTATCATATCTTGGCTTTGCTTTTAGGACCAAGCCTGGAGTAATGGCATCCATTAATTAGGCCTTTACCATCCTTCTAAGAGTTGGCTCTTTCCTGCAGACTCCACACATGACAAAGCCTTCTCCTCCCAGGAGAGGTATCACTCCTGATTCAAAGAGCTCTTTGGTGTGAAAACTGCTTTCTACCCCATTCTAAATGCCTCAGTGCAATCCCAAGGCTGGGCTCCTTTGTGTGCCCAGAGCACCTCCACAAAACTGACCCTGCTAGCCCTGAAAATGCCTTGCAGAAAGGTGGAAAGAAGTTCAAAGGGTGCAGAGAACCAGAAATAACAACCCAGAGCCAAGTCTTGCATCTGGGTCTGCCTTTTCCACATAATGCTGAGTAAAAACAGTTTGACCAGTGATGTTTGCCACCAAGGATTTATCAAAGCTATCCCCATACTAGGACTGTGTCCCATTACCATGAGCAGCAGGCTGGGAGCACATGTAACAGTGACCCCCCCAAGGTTTGAGCACAAGTGCCAGGGATGCTCTGGGAAGGACACAGGAAGCTGGCAGCTGCCTTCAGCAACAGAGAACAAGTATCTAGGCACAAGAGACAACAGCAGACCTTGCTGGGTCAGAGTACATGAGGCTACAGAGAAGTGAGGCAGTGACACAGTGAGATGCAGGGATGACACCCTGCTTCCAAAGAAGAAGAGGAAGAAGCTTGCTTGTGGGTAATTCTGCAACAGCAGTCCATGAAGGCAAGATGTGAACCCATCATGCTGCTGGTGACTGGACTCCTTAACAGCAAGCAGTGCAGGGAGGAGCAGGTCAAGAGCAGCTGTCTTAGGATGAGCCACGTGCACTGTGGTGCCTGCCTTCCAGGGCCAGGTTAACCCTGGATCCAGGCTTGGTGAATGTCAAGTGGCTGGGTCTTTAAGAGACAGGTCCCTGGAGAGGACATGCTGCCCCTAAGGCCTCAACAGCATCTGCCCACTTCCACAGCTCAGCTCAGGAGCACCTTGCTGAGCAAGGTTTGTATGAGGGCAAAGAGAGCCCCTTGGGGCAAGTAGGTTTTCAGAGAAACACAGAAAATAGGGCTGGGGAGAGTCACCAACTTCCACATGAGAACTCACCACTCACTGTGTCACTCCAGGAACTTATTTCCTTGCTCTCCAGGTGATCCATTAGCACTTCCTCACTGCTGCAGTATTTTTACTTCCATTCCTTGCTGTAGTTTGAGACCAGAACACTGTGTCTTACCCAGCGTGAAAACAAAGGATGAATTTGTTCTTTCCTCCTTGCAATGACCCTTGCAGACTGTTCCCAGGCCTCTCCCACCCTCTTTACACTGACACACCACAATTCTTCCACGCTCTGCAAATTTAACAAGCCTATGCTTGTTTCAAATAGCATTAAGGAAAATATCACATAGCACTGGACCTGTGGGGTCCCACATGCTTTTGGCACTCATGGATGAAACCCACTCAAGCAGCCACTGGCCATTTTCACAGTCTGATGGTGACAATGACGTGTCAGAACTATTACAGGATTGTTGTTGTAATATGGGGAGCTAGCTCATTCCCATGGGATTAAGCTGTTCGTGCAGTAATCACTTCCCAGAGCATGCTGCTTGCACATTTTGAATCCCCCATCAAAAATCCTGTCACTTTAAACTCCAGGAAGAGAATACGAGCAAGTCCAGGCTAGTGTGGGAACATACAAATTGGCAGAGATTCCCAAGGAGCGATGCAGGGTTTCCAAGCTAGGTCTTTCCGAGCTGTGGTAGAGGCAGTTACAACCGTGCGGCAGAACAGCATTGCAGCACCATCTGCTGACGGTTGGTCCACAGCTCTTCACCGCAGTCAGCTCTCTGTTCGGCTTCGAATGTTCTAATGTGCTAACAGCGTCATCAGGTAAATAAATCGCTCTTTAGGGTAACAAATCCTGCAGTTACTGATTAGAACAAGGTATCTGTGTTCTCTTAATTTTTAAGCTTACAGTGTGACCTTGTCCTTTCTTTCATTGTGATATAATGGACCAAGTCCAAAGAAATAAATCATCCTGCTTGTGGGGCAGTTAGTTCTCTTTCTCTGTGCCCAATACCATGATGCAACTCACCAGTGAAAGAAAGCCCCAGCATATATGGCTGAACAAAGGTACAAGTTTAGTTACCTGTGGCAAAACACACACACACACACAAAGGAAACAGGAAAATAAGAACCAGGGAAATTCCAGTGCTCCCCCCCAACCCCAAATCTAAGAATGCCACGTTCAGAGTTGGTTTGTACTGGTTTTCTCTAGGACCATTTCCTATCTCATCACTTTCCAAATTCTGGCTAACTTCACCTACCCAACCCTGAGACCTTGGGATCTGCCTCTTCAGCCTGACACCTCTGACAGCTTCTGCACCTCACACACAAGGCTTTTCCCAGACGGGTCTGAAGATGTGTATGTAATAGCCAGTAGTCTGCAAACATCTCGCATCAGACAGAGCTGTGAAGAGAATTAACACACTCCACATCCCACCAGGCAAAGGCAGCAACTACTCTTAGGGCTGAGAAAACTGACAACAGGACACCGCTGCAGTTGGCTGTTATGTGCATCCTGCCACATAACTGTCACAACTGGTGGAGGCCTGAGAACAGAGCAGGCTACAGATACTATCCTCCACTGTGCCCTCAGTCTGTTGCAGATGTGTACATGGGAGATGTGTCTTGGAACTTGCCTTGTTAATGCTGTTGCAGTAGTGACACAACATTCAGCTCAAAGCTCTTACTAGCAAGTGGAAATGGGAGCTTTTTATTGAATGTATTTCTTTTAACCTTAGCTTTTAGAACAAGATATTTAACAACATTACCATTCATTTTTACAACACAAGCTCAACAGTGCTACTACTTCAGCTACAGCTGCTTACTGTCTGCTTCCCCAGGCTGAAGATTTATGGTGAAACAGACAGTTAAACACACACAAAACCAGAAAATGCAAGTAGGTTTTACTAATGAGGCAGACATTTTGCTGCATGCACCTCTCCGTCAGAGACAAGTCCAACTTCAGCAGACACCAAGAGCATCTTTTGTCTTTGCCTAATTTGCAAGCTGCGTTACACAGAACTGGGGAAACAAGTTAATGTATGCAAAGTTTGCTGGAGCAGCAAAAGCAACAGCAAGTGCTTGATGGAGTCCGAAGCCGTAGAGAGAAGAGAAGCTTTGCATTTCAAACAAAGGATTCCCCCAGGAATGAGAGGTATTTGAAGATGTCCACCTCTACATCTGGAACTGAAAGCTGAGATTTCTCACAGAGAAATGCAGATCAATTAAGCAAACCAAGAAGTGTTTGGGGAGGAAAAGAAAGGATTTGGCAGGCAGACACCAACATGCTGAGCAGCTCTGTGGGACTCCTGTCCCATGGACCTGACTGAACACATAATCAGTCTATTGTGTAGGTAAACACCAAGCTCATGGACAATTTTCTTCTCATCCCAAACATCTCCTGGCCACTTGCTGCCTAGCATCCTTTCTACATAAGTACAGTACCATACTGGTCAGTCAGGGTGTAAAAACACCTGGGGGAAGAAGGTTTAATGAAGTATAAAGTGTTTCTTCAAAGTGCATAAGTAGTAAACAACACTGCTCTGGGTTTGTATGTTTACCATTGTACCCAAAGACACCATGTTACACTGGCAGTTTCAGTGCTCCCAGCTTACATTACCTGCTTGGAAGCTGAATGGTACCTCTCTAGCTATAGTACCGTGTCTCTTAAGCTGCTGCCTGTCAGCAGACAGAGCTGTGCAAGTGTCCTCATATAGGTGCAATTTGCAGCAGCCAAAAACGATGGCCACAATGTCCTACCAGTCTGGTAAGGAAATGAGTGGTTTCAAATGTAGATCACATCCGAGTCGTGCTGCTGAACCTACAGACAAATCAAATAGGAAGAATTAGCTCCATCTTGAAGTCCTGCTTACAACAAAGTAATTTCCTTGGTCCTGTAGTTGCTTTACCTCCAACTCTGAAGCCTTTTGCAAGATGCCCTGCAATAACTTTTCCTTCTTTCTCAAAACAAGCACCCCTGCTATTTAGATAGGTTAGGCTTAAAAAGTTGCTTGTTACTTGCATTAGAAAGAGCTGCTTCCTCATCTGTTGCTACACTCAGCTGTTCCTTCTAAGCACACAACCCTGAAGATTCAGGTCTTGAAGGTTACTACACTAGAGCCTCTAAATAATCCTAAAACCCCTCAGTTTTGTTAATATAGAACAGCAACAAAATACATCAGGCTTTCCTTATTGCCAACACCTTGCACAATCAGCATTGCCAAGAGAAAGGTGACTTCCTTCCCGCTGTTCAAGACTGCATGTCCTTACAGTTCTTTTCACTCATTAGTGCTTCAGGACTCTTTGACAGGGAACACATTGGAAAAGAACTGAACTTTTGGAAGTCTAGGCACTTACTGGTATTTTACTCCCTGTGCTTAAAAGAGAGATTACCTGGTTTAAGATACCAATAAATCTGAGATACAGGCACAATATGTTTTAAGCTCTCTGTACCTGGAAGTATATTCTCATTTCCAGGCCTGGATGATACAAATAGAACCTAATGCAGATCTTTGTACTACGGAGTAGGGCACTTCTGGTTCATTTACCAACACAGCTTTGCACACCAGCTTAGATCATGCAAAAAAACAGATGGCCTTAAGTTACGAACAGTCCCAAATGGTGCACACCAGTGCAGGGTCTCCAAACTCATTCAACAGCCATGCCTTGACTCATCATTTCAGAGGCTGTGACAAAACAGGTCCCTAAAGCCAAGCATTATTGATCTCTCTGAACAATACACTTTGAGTGAGCATTTAGGAATTTACTTACAAATCTGATTACCTTTATAATGTGTTTTCTAGTTCCTGTGCCCACACTGCTGGCAACCAAGGAATTGGCTTGGAAAGAGGACTTTTCCACTGGCACCGTGTGCTGAATTTTGTTGGTACAAGGCCAGCTGCTTGTAGTATTTAGCAAGTAAGCAGGGAAAGGTCTTCGAAGATTTATATCCAATGAATCTCCAGTTTCAAAGGTTTTCATCCACAATGGGGTCTTTAAAAGAGCACATGGAAATTTAATACCCTCTCTATCTCAACTCTTATTAAGCCCAAAAGAACATCAGATACAGAGACAGAAAATAAAGGCCATCTTCCCTCATCATTTTTCCAAGCCTCCATTCTCTCTCTAAAACCATTGACTTGGAGCCATTTTTGCTACATGTGGAACAATCTGGAAAGACAAACCCAGCCCTATTCTTGCACTGGCTCAGGAAGAGGCTGGAATGTTTATATAAATAACAAGAAACTTCCAACAGAAATCTGGGTTTAGTTCCTCACTGCCTTGAGAAAAAAAAACCCCACACCAAGACTCATGACTTTCAGCAACCACAAAGCACGTGAATGAGAATGTGATGCAAACGATGAGGAAACACATCTAAATGTGTTATTGAGTTACAACAATTTAGGCTGCTCCAAGAGCTTAAGCCCTTACTGTGATTGCATAATCTGTAAAATAAGGTATTTTTTGCTTATTCTACTGGTATCCTGCCCAGGAAAAACTTCTTGGATGTTTTGACATGAAATTTTCCTTGTCTGTGTTCACACTTTTAGTACCTTACTGTCAAGGGTACTACAGCATGTGCCTTGAACTGAAACACAGCAATTATATTTGGCACACACATACTATTCTCTTTAATGGCTCATGCTGAAAAGGTGGCAGGTATTTGGGGTATACATACATTTCCTAAGGAGCGATCCAAGGATCCCAGGACTTCATTCCAGTGAGAGTAAAGCCCAGACTGTTTTTCTTCTAGTTTCAAAGCATGAATTTCAGATTTCAGTTCTTTCAGTCGATCTTCAAACTTTCTGCTCTTTTCTAAGTAGTCTAGCCTGCAGTCCACACGTTAGAGACAAAAAGCTTATTGGCATGACATAGCTCAAGAAATGGTGTGTGTGGAAGCAGGATAGAGGAAGGTCTTAGTTACATTTTGGGGCTTTGATAGGCAGCCGTCTGACCCAGTGAGAAAGGGGCTCACTTCCAGCCTTCAGCATTCACACACTTACTAACTTTTTATCAAGCATGTCCTTCCAGACCAAAAGAGGGAAAACTTCTCCATGTATTAGATCAAAGCAATACCATATTTTAACACTAGAGGGAAGCTTCTGTCCTCTAACGTGCTGTTAAACGAGCAAAGTTTGCCCCCGACAGAAAGCTCTCCAAGACAGAAGGGTTCTGGATTTAGGGTTTGATGCCACCAGAAGACTCTTTGTGTAAATAGCTAGTCTTACACAGACATAATCCACACCAGCCCAGTAAAAGGCTCCAGACGTATGTGCAAGTAGGAGGCCATCCTGAAACGTTAAAAGGATGAACCGTGATTCCCAGATACTACTTTTTTTCCTTTCTGTACTTTCCATGATGAACATACTCCTTTATTTACACCATAAGCATAATGATACCTCTCTCTCTCTATCTCAAAGGATAGTCTCTTGAGGTCAATGTCCTTCAAATCCAGCTTTATGGATCCTTTGTCAAAGTTGGCATCTCTGGTGTCAGCTGGGGAGTATTGTGGGTACTTGACCATGTGCTGAAAGAGGTGACACAAGCACTGTCAATAAAATCTGATTGTTCAGTTTGGGGTTTATCTCCCCAGTTTCTGCAAGAATGCCATGCCGAGCCATTCCATAAGCTACCTATGGATTCTGAGACACACAGATGCTCCTGCAGCCCTTCCCCTCTGAGTGGCCCCAGATGAACTGCTGAAGTCCATAACACACAGATCCAAGGGCTAAGAAGTATCCTGGCTGCAGTGTTTTTATCTATTTCAGCAGACAACCCATTCTCAGCAACACTGGAGCAGAGGTGGGAGTTGGGCCACACAGCTGCCTTCTTGCTGGTCACAGCTTCATCTGCTTTGCCTAAACACACTCACGGGCTATGTAGGTGCCAGGACCACAGAGCTGGCTCAGAACAACAGCCTCCACAAGGTATTGCCCAACTGAGACGGCACAAAGTCAATACCGGGTATGAATGAAGGCAAGACCATCTCTACTCCCTGAGTCCCAACAGCAGTCCTGCATCTAACTTTTGTCTTGCCTTTCTTATCATCCCGATTCAGTGCCCTGAACAAATACAATTTCCATCCTAGCTACACTGTGTTTAAGCACCACTTGGTCCTTTAGGTCTTTGTCCCCCAGCTGGATGCAGACATGCCACCAGTCAGCTTGATGGGGGCTATAAAAATGCAATCAACTACTGACTATCTCTGAAGACGAAGTGGTGCCCAATACAGCAGGAACTTACAGGATAATTAAGCCTGGTTATGTCTAAGAGTTTCTGCTTTGCTTTCCGTTCAGCCTCTCTGGCTTCATGCAGATCTTGTTTCAGATGCTCTGCTTCCTTGGCTCTGTAAGACAAATATCCTGTCAGGAATGGTTGATGATTTCCAGTATAAAGCAAGACATGGATTTCAGAGCTATGCACCTCACTAACTTCCAGAGAACAAGATCCATTACTGTGAGTTATTCCTTTACCCAAAGATACTTGCATTGGGTTGCTCAGATGGAGAACTAAGTGGACACAGCAGGATTGCTTTCAAAGACAATCCTGCTCAAACTGGCTGAATGAACATATTTTTCCTACTCCTAATTTCCATGGGCTCAGTTATGACCTGCTGATACAGATGCTCCAAGCTTCCCAAGGTGGGGAGAGGTGCAACATAATCTGCTCTTTATTTTGGCAAGCTTTTTGGCAGTATCCTAAAAACAAGCAGAAGGCCCTTAATAGCAAGTTAAACATCCTCTGTCAACAATAGTCTGCTCTGAATCATCAGGCATTATATGGAACATACAAACTCCAAGTGGTTTATGTTCCACGGGAGTTTACCTGATTTACAGTTCTCAGAGATCTTAAAGGGATATAAGAGACCACCACTTGGTACTAATAAATGAGAACAGCCTCCTAACTCACAGGGTATACAAACTGGTAAAGGTAGATAGCTAGGTAGACAGTGCTCTTTTGATAACACTCTACAGCAAATGCATCTGCATTCTGGATCTGTAATACTAAGCATCTCTAAAGCTTTGCATCTGATCCTCTGGAAACGACCTGCATCACAACCACCCTGTACCAGGTGAAACAAATAAGATGCAGGAAGGCTTAGTCACCCTTCCTCCCTGGCTTAGCTGAGAAAAGCAGCACATTCTCCACCCAGGCATCCCTGTAAAGCCACACAACCTCACTCAAACAAACCTAACCTCCGGTCAGACTCCTTCACCAGCTTCACTGCTATCAGCTCTGCCTCCCGCATCTTTTGCTCCATCAGGCGTTTCTCCTCCTTGGTTTTCAGAGCTGTGATCTCCAGCCTCTGTCGCTCTTGCTCAGCTTCTGCAGCATTCTGGGCCAGCAATTTTGCCTCTTCTTCTGCAATCTGAGCTTTCTCAGCCAGCAACTCTGCTGCTTCCTGGGATCGGAGCTAAGAAGAAACCATTTTTCTTAGTCACCCTGTCTAGCATCTACAAAACCAGCCCTGCAAAGAGTCAGAAGAGGACATCTTTTCCCAAAGATCAAGTGATAAAAATATTATTCCTTAAAATAAAAAGTATAGTAAACATAACTATAGGGTCTGGTGTTCCTCCTCTCATCCAGAATTGCCTAACTTCCTTCCTGCTGCTCACCTCTACAAAGCAAGGAGCTGGACAAAGATGTCAACCAAAAATTGAAGTTGGCCCCTTCAGTTGCCAGTGCACCATGCCCCTTTCTCCCAATTTCAGCTCCAAGGTTGCTTCCTTTCTTCCCTCTTTGCATGAAGAAAGCACTCTGAACCAAATACAGGGAGCAAATGACTCCCAGCAAATGGAGACTATGGCAGATCAAGATTTCCCAGGAATTTCAGCATGCCTTCTCCACCAGTGGTCAGAAACTCTCCAGCCTTGTCTGAGCCATAATTCCTGGTGTCTCACAGGAAACATAAGAAAAAAAAAAACCTCCTAAACCAAGAAAGGCTGTCAAGCATGAGAATATTCAGACTAATGTGCTACTCACCAGGGCCTCATTGGCCTGCCTGGCTTCATCTTCCAGCTGGAAAAGACGCCTTTCCAGCTCTTCTTTGGCTCGCTCAGCTTCTTCTCGGAGCTGCTTCTCCCTGGCCAGCCTTTGATTCTCCATCTGGAAACAGAATAAGCAATACCACGTTTGTGGGCTCGCAGCAGAACCTCATCTTGGCCTGAGGCAGCACAGCAAACGAATCTAATGAAGAACGGGCTGCTCTCTAGCTGGTGGACTGATACTCACCAGAGATGCAGTGCTGAAGCTGCTTGCACTTTGCAGCACTGAACTCCTCTAACAGGTAATACTGGTTATTTCAGACCTCTGGAAAAGCACCTGGATCAATCTGTTACGTACCCCACATCTTTGCGATCACCAATTCGGTTTCACAAACATCACTTACATCCTCAGATGCTGTATACACACCAGGGCTGTTCCCACATCCAATCCTGCTGCACTTTCGAACCTCCCACACATACTGATGCAGTGCGTGGACAGCAAGGGCACCAGCTGGAATAATAATCAGTATTTTCAACAACAGAGGAAGAAAAAGAACCTACCTTTTTCCTAGCTTTTTCTTCCCTGGCTTGTGCTTTCATTTGCTGGATTTCTATTGAGTCCACTTTTCTTCTCCTCATAAATAGGTCATGGTTTCCAATGCACAACTGCAAAATCTGAATAGGAAAAGCAAAGCAAATGTGATTTTGATATACTTGTGCCCCAGCCAGAGATATGAAGAGCCCCACATTGGCCTCACAGGACAGAAGCTCACTATTCTGACTTCAGCACTAGTACTGGCAGTTGCTTTCCTTCCAAGCAAATCAGCACGCAGGGCAGGCATACCCACGTACGTAACAGCTCAGAAAAGTTCATAACAGGAGGAAGGCTTCCTTCTGTGTTTCTCCCATTTCCTGAGTAAGAACAGGCAATAGATCTAGGCCATAAGTACAGAAGATGTAGCTGTGGGAACAGTCACCTGCAATGGCCCCTCCACAAGCTCACTGAGAAGTGCCCAGCCCCTGTGGTTGTGTTAGGAAGCAATCAGTGCTGATGAAATTAGCCAGCTGATTAGGTCCCTTCCTTGTTGCAGCAAAGGATAAACAGTAGCTGATTAAGAACCTACAGCAGCCAGATAGGCAGATGCTGCAGTAGCTTTGCACCTTTCCATATGCTACACCCTCTGCTTACAGTATCTGTTGTGATTTGGACTTTCTTCCACATCTTGCTTTCCACCCATCATCTCCCCTTCCCAGAGAAGACAAATGTATGCACCCTGACTTCCTGGACAAAACAATCCTCAGGAACACACATGCTGAAGCTCAATAGATTTTACAAACACTATTTCTTACCCAGATAGCAGTCAGTAGTACCAGACTCTGTTTTAAAGAAGGAAAGCAGGCCACTTACCAATTTGTTTACTTTGAGTTGAGAGGAAAAGAACTTGAAGACTTCTGCTTTTTTATCAAGAGGTTTAATAGTTAACTATACAGGCAAAAGAGAAAAAGAAAACACAGTGAGAAGGAGGAAAAACAAAGCTGAAACTATTAATACTAAAGCAAACTTTAGCCCATCTCCACTACTCTCCAGGGAAGCAGTGATTTATGGCACAAGTGTGGAGAGAGTGATGCAGAAATATTTTTGCTCAAAAGAATCAGAACCTGGGCTGCTGTTACCCAAGTTCCTTATCTGCTCCCACAGCTGGCTATGTTAGCAGATACAGCCTCCCACAGACCCACCCTGGTGCCAGTTTGGATGGTGATTTTCATAATAAACCCACCTGCGCACTTGCACACCATGCTAACATTGGAACAAGCACAGGTTATCAGGAAAACAGAATACATTCATCCCCAGAAGCAGTCATATACTTAGAAGTCAGGGAGAAACCAAACATCTCTGAATAGCAATCACTGCAGGTGTAAACAGATGTATGAAGGCCAGAAGGATGACTTCTTCTGAACATAACAGTCCTGGAGTTCCTGCTTCCTCACATTTCAGTCCTATCTCCCAAGCTGTTTCCAGAAGACATGAAGAGCTTTCATGCTGCCAGGTCAGCACACACTGTTTCACTTCTTATAGATGTGCACAGTTTGGCTGCATAACAAACACAGCTCCAATCTTTAAGATCCTGTTTGCTGTGACTCATGGGTTAGCTAGCACTCGATTCCTACAATTCATTTACAATGCAATGTATAATTTCAGGCCAGCTGAGTCACCAAGATCATAATGTCCTACAGCTTGTTTCACCTCGTAGGTAACAACTGGTTGAATATGTTGCCTGGTGAGGAACAGGCTATGAACGTGTCACTGAATATAGTGGAGGTTTGATATAGGGCTGCCCAACTTCCCAGCAGTAGGGAGCTAAAGCAGTTCATTTAAAAGACCAGAGGGGAAGTTTGATGTCATGCATGGATCAAACTTTTTGGAGGCAGAACTCCTGCCTGATTTCATGTGTGCACTTCTAACTCCCGACAGCAAACTTCATCTTCACTGTTCTTCAAAAGGCCTGCAGAAAATGGAGCAGGCTGTGCTGTCCTTAGGCTGATGAATTCCTGTACCAGTGTAGTTTTCCTGGCTTTGTTTTTCTGATTATAGCCTTCTATGTAGCCAGATGATTTGTAATGAGCCTAAATTTCACCTGCTCCCTAGAATACTTCCTACAGGTAAAAGACAGGCTCTGAAATTACAGTGGAATTGCAATGGTAGGGTTGTGCTGACGACCAAAATCGTTCACTGACAATCTGACAGAATTCAGACAGGAAAACATGTGGATCTCCCTGCATGTCTCCTCTTGCCACTGTGCTTCAAAAACCTCATCTACAAGGACAGCTTCTGCATGTGAAAATGGCATTAAGTTTTAACAGATTATCACATTCCTGCTGAGATAACAGAGGAAGGTGGCATTCACAACATGTATCTTTTTTAGACAGCAACACACTTGTTTTCAAAGGACAAGCAGCAGGGAGGGAACCAGAACAGAGGGCTCTGCAAGTTTGGAGAGCTCAGAGCAACCTCTGTCTCCTGGGGGAACAGAGGATACACAGCACATCTGAAAGGCAGGTCTGTTATTTCTAGTGCTGTAACAAAGCTCCCCAGGATTTCCCCCTTCTCTCCCAGTTTCTTTAAACAGAGACAGCTTTCAGCCTGTTCCAAGAATCCCAGTCCACACCCGTGCCCATATAAAAAGAATAATATATCAAAGCCATCATACCTCTTTCTCACTATAGGAAATGTTTCTGATAGCACTCCACTCAAACGACTTATTTGGAGAGAACCTGTTATTAATGCTGTAGATATGAATACCTTTGGCATCAACTCCAAGTAGGAGATCTGTGTGGTTTTTATTTTGCTAAAAAAGTAACAGATACCAGTAAATGCCATTTACAGTGACATTAAACAACCACAGACAAGAACCACACTCTAATACACTGATATTTATCTGGATTTTTAGGAAATTGATGTTTCCACAGACTACTGTGAATAATGTCACTGCTAGCTAATAAACCCAGTCTTCCAGGTTGCCTAAAGCAGCTCAAACTTCTAGTCTGCTTCTCCTTCTTCCCCTTTACATACCCAGAGCTACTCAAGACCTTTGTCAGATTGCGAAACATTAACTGGTTTATTCACCTCCTCACTTAGCAGGCAAGTCAACCAAGTCAGGACAACTAGTAGACAACCCACTACCAACACAGAAAACCAGAAGTCAGAATCCCAGATCCAAACTCACTGGAGGGTTTTCACAGGACAGTACCATCATCTACAGCAACTGAAAACTGCTAAAATAAAGCACTTACAGCAATTGGGAAATAATTGACCCCATACATTTCCAAGTCTTGGGCAATTTTCAGGTAGTTCATCTCAGCTTCATCCCTAGCGAATAAGGTCATGGTTATACTTGGAGATTCCAACCTTCCTCTCCTAGCTGACTCTACATTTCCCATTTAGAAAAGAAGAGGCAATCTGCTCTTTTGTACTTTCTTTAGTTTTCCCATTTTACTTTCAATAATAGAAAAAGGATAATAAAACCAGCAATGCTAAGGAATACAGTCAAGCTGTACCTATTTTGAAAATATATATATAGTGTAATCTTTATTAAAATGCAAGTCCAGTCTTATCCTCATGTTAATGTTGCCACTCCATCATTATTATATCTTGGAAACCTACCCTACCATTGTTTTCCATGACGTGAGGGTATTTCTTTCAGGAAACAGACTTCATTTAGAAATGAGTCTTGAACAAACTAAACAGAGCTTTGGGCAGAGGCCAAAGAAGGGTGAGAATCTCTCCACCCACCGTTCTTCTCCCTTCAAGGTGAGGCATCAGTAAGTCTTGAGGAAAATACTCAGTGAAAACAGTGCTAAGAAGTATGTAGAACAGCCAAAGAGAAATTGAACTGAAATGCTAGGAAAGGCTGCCTCTGGGAGCCAGCAGCTCCTACTTCTTGTTTAATTGAATTTCCAGACATGCTGAATGTCTCAAAGTAGCTGTATGCCCACATGGAATAGCACTAAAACTCAGCCCTGGAACTATGATGCTGTTTTGATTCCCTGCTAAGTACACTTCCAACTTTTTGAGCCACAATTTTCACAAGGTATAAAATATATCAGATTAATTCTTTTTATTCTAGAGGAAGACTGGTGCGATAAGGCTGCTGCATAGGGCAGACACAACAGCAACTCCAGGCAGCTAATGGCCTTAAATGAAACTCTTAGGGCTAATTGCAAACTCAACACAACTCGGACCTTCTGCAGGAACTTCCCTCTGCTGGCATACATGGACTCTGATGAGACAGGACTCCCGGTTTTGGTATGTTAGGTCATGAAGCTCTGCAAGAGCCCTCAGCTTCTCTGTTCACTTCAAAGCAAACCCAGTTTACAAGCATCTGGAGCCCTACACAAGACACTTTTTACACCAGATGATGTAAAGATGCTTTTTACCCCAGAATGGTGCGTGTTTTCATCCTTAGTTATAAATTAACCTATTAACATCACAGCTTTGAAACCAAAATGCCTTAGCTCATTCTACAAAACCCAAACTTCACTGAAGACAGCAAGTAACCAGTTACTGAAATGCATGGGATTTACAAAGAGTGAAATAATTTCAGTACCTGGCAATACCCCTGTGCTCAGCATACCAAGCAGTAATCTTTTCTTCCCACATCTCTGCTGTCAGCTGATACTGCCTGAGGACCTACAGAGAAAAGGAGTTTGGTTTCCTTTGAAGATACATATACATGTGGTGCCTCTCCCAAGCAACATGAATGCAGCAATGCAGTTCACAGCTTGGTCATTTTGCCAAGCTCGGGGCAGATGCAAACAGTTTCTAATGCTCTATAACTAGCATATCTGTGTTACAAAGAGTAGACTTAAAGATTTGGCTTTATAAAGAATAAAGACTTACCCTTTTGGGTAAAAGCTCATCATGGGCTAGAAAGCCTGGCTCATGAAAATTTGGGTCGTAGTCACCATACTGTCCCAAGAAAAGAAAAGATACTTTACTTTGTTAGATTCAGAATGCTGGAGAACTTGTCACTTGCACAGTTTAATCCAATTGCTTGAGACAAATTTTGATTTAGTTCTTTCATAGACAGGGTAACACCTAATAAACAGGTCCATGGAATTTCCTTCCAGTCTTTGTGTTGTGCATGTGGCTCCATGCATAGGTGGTCTGTAACCTTAGACTTCAACCTTAGACTGCTGCTCTTGGTAATTGCAGATATGAAGGAATCTTCCATGACTTCATACCCTCCTCTGAACTACAGGCTATGTTTAGGAGTGTAAGCTCCCCTACTCATTCTTATATCTACTCTACATAGATTTGGCTACTGCAAAGGGCCAGCCTTGCTAAGAACTTGTGTTCACCTCCTGCAACTGTGCAAGTTTGGCTCTTGGTGGCACGAAGCGAGCTATATGTACTGAGAGATCCTAAATCCTTCTATTTTGAGCTCTGGTGTCAGCAGCTGCTGTATCCATGGACAGTTTTTAAACCAACAGCAAATAATTCTAGCTGAGAGAACGATTACTTCACATCATTAAGTCCAAAGAAATCCCTTAAGTTGCAAAAGCATAGTCTATAATAGCAAAAGCCTTGTAGTGGCACCTAATGCTTATTTTTCTAGCTGAGCCTGTACCTCACAGGATGACCAACTTCTTTAACAGCAAATTTTAGCACTGTTGTGTTTTACACACCACCATGTAAATGTGCTGATTAAAAAAGGACACAAAATCTATTTTAAAAAGAGCACTTCTATGCACAAACCTTGGCCTGAACAGCATAAGAAGCCAGTAAAACTGTTGCTTCTGGAGAACAATAGATTTCCTCATCCAGTATTTGTTTCTTAACCTGAATCAAGAAAAAAAGGGAGCAAGTTAAAGAAGCTCAAAGTTGGAACTTAATGTGAGGCTTGAAATGAAACTAGACATGCCCAGACTATAACTTGGCAAACATCACCATTATGAATTAATAACAGTAACAAAATGGCAATCAGAAACACAGGAAGCTTTTACTTAGTATTGCATTTAATGGGGAAAAAAAAAATCCCCCCTTTTGAAAAAGAATGTATTATAAAATCGTTAATTATTATTAATTAAAGTCATTTCAACAATTCTTTCTCTTCCTGCTTTGAAAAAGTTACCTGTACCACATGTAAAACATCAGCTTCTAGACTGGAAGGGACCATCTAGGCAAAGCAGGTCCAACTAGACCAGATTATTCAGGGCTGTCCACCTGTCTAATGCTGCCAAGGCCAGAGACTTACTGAAAACCATAATCACAGAATGGTTTGGGTTGGAAAGAGCCTTAAGATCACCAGTCACAACCCCCCTGCCATGGACAGGGAGACCTCATCCCAGACCATGGCACCCAAGGCTCTGTCCAACCTGGCCTTGAACACTGCCAGGGATGGAGAATTTACCACTTCTCTGGGCAACCTGTTGCAGCGCCTCAGCATCCTCATAGTAAAGAGCTTCTTCCTTATCTCCAACCTGAACTTTCCCTGTTTAAGTTTAAACCCATTCCCCCTTGTCCTATCACTACAATTCTCAATATGGCTTATCTTCTCAAGCTTTTCAGAATGAGAGAATAAAGGAGACCCCCACAATAGATCACATAATTTCTTCAGTTACAGTGGCCTAAGCACAACAAAAATGTACGGGCTTAAAACCAAAAGCCCAGTATAAATGGTGGAGTCTATTAACATTCATTTCATTTTAATACTCCATGGTGCTACCAAGATCAGAGGTCTAATAGTTTGGAAGATCCTGCTTGATTTTAAATCAACTGTGTAATTTTTACTTGAAAACCTAGAGGGAAGGGGAAATTAATCTTCACAAATCCTCCTCTCAGGTGTGATGTATTCAGCCTACTAACAAGCACAAGACAAGGAAATTCTGCATAATGCACAGTCTTAAACAGTTCCAAGAAGAAAAATCACTTGCGATAGCATGGAGCTCTCTTCACAAATACACTTTGGCGCTGTAGGTATCGTGAACTGAAATGAACCATCAAGAAAGCTTTTCTTTTAAATGTAGTCTCTTGTGAGCACAATATATGAACCTGAGTAATAGTACAGGGAAAATTCTTTGTAAGCTGTTAAAATGGAAAGAATGAAAAGATTGAAACAAGTTTTCTTCCAAATTGGAAAGCTCCAACTTTCATACTCCGTGGTGCAAATCATACATTTGAGAATTCAGAACAACTTCAGATAAATCAGTTCTTACAAGGGCATTTTGTTACGCTTCTTTCTGAAGAAGCAAAGTACCTGACGTAGAGACAGACAATGTTTAGCTATAGTCATTTACATTTATTCACACCTTTTTGCAAAAAGCTGTTATGCCACATTAATTTGTAAAGGTCTGAATAGTCAGGAAGAGCTGAAAAGTGGAGGCATCCAGATGTCTGTACATGTTTTTCCTATTAGCATCCAGGTGTGATCTGAAGTTCTTACAGTCAGGAAACTCTGCAAGTTGAAATTTGTTTCAGTCTTGTTTTTCTCCTTTGGAATGAGAGGAATTTGCTAATTGCATATCTGCTAGTCAAGGCAGGTTCCAAGAGAAGAAAGTGAACAAAATCAGGATTAAAAGGCTAGGAAAAGAGTTCTGCCCCTCATTCTTTTCCAAAATTAGCTTCAGAAGCAAACTGCCAAGTGGTTAAGGGCTCTGGATGAAGTTCTAGTTAGTATATTAACCCTCAGAACAACAGCATTTTACCATTACTTCGCTAACACATCCTCCTCAGGGCAGAAGTGTGTTTACTCTATTTACAGATGCAGACTGACTTTAAAACCAATCTACTTGCACAAGCACATACTGCTGAAAGCTACCAGAATAAAGCACCACACCAGGAGGCTGTAACTAGCAGAGGGACTCCACAGCAACTCAGCAGAGAAGCTGGATGTCACAGACATGGGAACAAACAGCTAACCATCAAAAACTCAATGCCTGATTATCTATTGCTACAGACACAGTCTCCTTCTGCAGCTAGGGAGCCACAGCATGGCTTTTCCTCACTGAGGCATCTTAAGTTTGATAACAAACCACTGCACACCAAGAATTTTCTCCATCTGCTTTTTAAATGGAGATCCCTAACAATTTCTGGGACAAAAGAAAACAAGTGGCAAATAAAAAAGCTGCCTCTGCACAGCTACTACCATCAATGCATGTGTGGGGTTAATTACTGGTTTTACCAGCTTTCATTTTGTGTGAATTTGTAAGAACCACCACAGTCTACAGACCAAGCTGTGCTCATACATCAACAGCTCTGCTCTTGAGGACAGTACTGTTGTCCTGCAGCTCCTCAGTAGATGTCCCTATGGCAGAGCTGAAATGGGTTTTGTTATCTGTAATGAGGATTTCTCAAAGCTAGGGATTTATCCTGCTAGCATGAGTAGCCTGCATCCAGTTCAATGAGGTAGGGAGGACAACTCAAACTGGCTAATGTCACTGACACAATTCAGTGTGTGCAAGTCTGGATGTTCAGAATACCAACCCTATACCAAGGGAAGAACTCTGCACATCCAGGGGCTATCAGACCATATGATGATGCTTCCATACTTTGTCTTTCAAAGGATCACACATTGTGGTCAGTCTTCTGTTTGAGTCCTAGCTGTGTGTGCTACTCCACTCCTTTTGAAACTTGCTACATGAACAAACCTGCATTTCAGAATGGCTATCAAATTCTATGATCTTTTTTCCCCACAGTCCTAAATCAAGTTGGAGGACAGGTGAGGAGTTCTTGTTTTCTAGTGATTGTGCCTTCTACAGTCATACACAGGGTCTCCCAGTAATCCCCTGGGCTATTTTTAGGAACTGGCAAGTTTTGTTTTCAGGGACAGGCTGTAGTCACAGGTCTTGTTCTGTCTGCAGCGGATATGGGTGAAAAAGTTTCTCACGCTCAACCGCTTACCACCATTCCTTCCCCCTGCTCCACCTTCACATCTGCCACCATGACTGCTTGTGTAGTCACTCCCCCACACTGCATACATCTAATAACAGGTCTCTTCTAATCCTGCTCGTTTTGAAAGAGCTAGGTTAGGGAATGGTTTCGTGAGAGGTTACACCAGCAGGGCTAAGGCAACAATGACAGGGAGCTGTTGAGACTCTCTTCATCCAATTGAGCTGCAGCCAGAGCAGACCAGATGACACAGTCTTCAAGATAACTTCTGGAGCTGATAAAAATGATGGCTTCATCCTTTTCCAACACTGACCAGTTAGTGCAGAAGCCACACAGCTCTTCAGAGCCAACCTTGCATGGCTTTTCTTTTAAAATATATACCACAGGAGCAAAACAAGTCTGGAATGTCCATATAGAATCACAGAATAGTTAGGGTTGGAAAGGACCTTAAGATCATCCAGTTCCAACACCCCTGCCATGGGCAGGGACACCTCGCTCTAAACCATATTACCCAAGGCTTCATCCAACCTGGCCTTGAACACTGCCAGGGATGAAGCATTCACAACCTCCTTGGGCAACCCATTCCAGTGCCTCACCACCCTAAGAGGAAAGAATTTCCTCCTTATATCCAACCTAAACTTCCCCTGTCTAAGTTTTAACCCATTACCCCTTGTCCTATCACCACAGTCCCTAATGAAGAGTCCATCCCCAGCATCCCTGTAGGCCCCCTTGAATTATCACCCAAAAAGCAATGTGTAAAAGTCATTTTACATGAAACTACAGGTCTCAACAATTTAACTCCCATTCCTAGTACAAACAGTAAGGGAAGCCATAAAGAGAACAAAAACCTGAAGAAGGCAAACAACATTCAGCTTTACCAGGACACAAAAGCACAGCAGTCAGGAGAGATGTTTGTATTCACAAAAACAAGATCTTTACAGAGACACTGATACAGCTGAAGCCAGCAAAATCATTGAGACTAACAGCTGCCAACAAGATCAAAGACAATACAAAAACATTGGGGTAAATACAGAAGGAATTCATGGTTAAAAATTGTTTCTGACCTGAAGGAAGAACAAATGCTGGGTAATTTCCTGTAATAGTTCCTCTTCTACCTTCTCTGGGTAGAATTTAGCCAAAAAATGAAAGCTAATGGGATCTTCCTTTGGGATTTCTTGATCTAAAACCTGTTTACAGATAAAATAAAATCAGAATCAAAAATAGTACATAAGTGTCTCAAAATAATATTCCAGGGGAAAATCAGAAAGCAGACAATAACCCACTCAGTGCAGCCTTTACATATCTTAGAAGAGAGAGCAATGCTGAGCTTTAATCTACTAGCAATCAGTACATCTAATGGTGATTGCTCTGTGATCCTTCAGGTCACACTTAACAGAAACAATCAGACCACAACAAACTTCACTCTTAAAATAATGATGCTATCTAAAATGGAGCTTTTGTGTAACACATTCCCCTTCAGCTCCTGTGCTTAAATAAGTAAATCTTTTTATAAGAAGAAAACTGCCACTTTGATATTTTGTTTCCTATACCTTTTTGTCCATCTTTAACCAGGTGCACATTCCTTTTATTGTGTACTGCAAGCCAAAGAACCAAGTCTCCCTTAAACCAAGTGCTCGGCACACCAGGTCAAACAAGTCCTTTCCTTTCCACTTCATCTAAAAGAGAGAAAGAAAATTCAGAAAAACAGGAATGTCTTGCATAAATTTGTCTCATTTTAGTGAGGCCAACTAGGCTACCATTTGCGTTTCTCCTATGAACTCTTATCTGACCTTTAGCTTTCCAATGAAACATGCCTACTGCTGTCTACAAAGGTGAAATAGCTACCACGCTCCACCTCCTCCTCCTCTTCTCCACAGAAACATTCACAGAGCAGCTATAGTCCTTAAACCACAGCATCAAGGACTTTCTGAGCATGGGGAATGACAGTTGTACTACTGATGTCCTAGGACATGGTAAGGCTTTATTAGTATTTGTAAAAAATCTCATTCAATAGTTTATGCAAATTGGAGAGACTGAGAGAGGGCCAGGGGAAATCAAAGGAATGTCAGGGCACAGGGAAGAAATGCCCAACAGTGAAAGCAAATCCACCTTTCACATACCTTAGTTATTTCTGTGGCACCAAGCCAAGCCTTTATGCTACTCTTATTTAAATGAACAGAAGCCTCTTTTCTAGAGTGATTGAGTAGCCAGCCACCACCGACAGCAAACTTTGCTTAAAGGCTCCAGAATTCACACACGTATGTATGAGGCCTCATTTTTGCACTGAGGAGGCTGCACATCTGTTTCTTCTGTTTGACTACATGTCAAAACGATGATTTTGTCTATTTGCTTTGGTCCACCATGAGAACTTGGGGGGGGGGGGAGGGTAGGGGGGAGAACTTTTAGGTAGTATCTGGATGGAAAGCAGGAAATCATCCCAGAAGAACAATACTTGGGGAGAAGGTAGAGATAGCAAAGGAAGGAATACATCAAGCTGGATTTGTTAACAAGAACTTTGATCTCTGAATCAAATTTTCCAAATCCTTTATTTTCACTGATCCAGAATACTTGCAGGCAGAGCTGTAGGTCACAGGAGTGAGCTGCCTGTGAGTAATCTATTCTGTCTCTGAGGGACACAGTAAATGAAAATACTAAATGCCCCACAAGACACTCAAGTGTCTTATTAGAATTGCCAGTCCCACTGGACCTCAGTTTTCTAACTCCTCCCAATAACTGTGTGTCTTCTTGCTTTTGCTGGATGATTAGGAATTAATCAGGCAGATTTCTATCTCCTCAACAGTGGAGCCCAATTCATTTAGCAATTCATCACTTGCTGCATTTATTTTCTTCCATATTTTCCTGCAGTCATGGTTTGTCTATCCAATTTACTAGAGTGCCATAACTGCCGGAAGAAAAGCTAGCTTTTTCATTTGATCATTTTTGCCTTCTGCCCAGAGATACAAAGCAGCCATAGTAGTTAAAAGAATAAACTGCAGTTTACAAACGGGAAATTTGAAGAGAACATCCCATATCAGCTGACTGCAAAAGTACCATTTTATAACTTACTTTACAAGCAACATCTTAGGATCAGCTCTGACCAGAGTTCTCTGTCAAAGCTGCTCAAGGATGTTGTGAATGCTCCATCCCTGGCAGTGTACAAGGCCAGGTTGGATGGCGTCTTGGGTGACAGGGTTTAGTGTGAGGTGTCCCTGGCCATGGCAGGAGGGTTGGAACTGGGTGATCTTAAGGTCCTTTCCAACCCAAACCGTTCTATCATTCTGTGATTCAAAGTAGGTATATACACAAACAAGTCCTGCATCATATGCTGGAATGCTTATGAAGAAAGCAGGCTTACTGCTAACTTAGCAGTGTCACAGTCAAATGAATTTCATGGAACAGCTTTAATTCCTGACCAGTGCTGTTTAAAAGAATGCATCTCAGCCTGAGTAATCCACTGCTTCTAAAAATAACAGATCAGTTTTAAGGCCATCCATGAACTGATAAACTGAACGTTTCAAATGTATGTCTTGCTCATACAAAGGTCAGTTTCCATCTTCCTGGCATTCTGCTGAGGACTCTTACCTCACAGCTGAACTCCATTTCAGCATCCACTGTTACAATTTTGACTTTAAAAGTCTTTGGTTGTTTCTTCTTCAGGCCTCGGATGGACATATTTTTTAGTTTATGAGGACAGCCACACCTGAAATCAAACATGCATTACCTTTAGGGCTAGAAATCCAGTAACGTTTTCTTGGCTAGATTCCACAGCAGGACAAATCCAAACTTGCAGAATAAAGTCACCTCTAAGTATGCATTTAAAATTCAGTTTGATCTTTAAATTTAGTTTGCACCTGAAAATAAATTGCTCCAAAATGTCATTCCTGTCTTTCCTGAGACCTTGACAAACACTGGGTTCCTACAGTACTAGAAAGAACATCATTCAGACCTCATATTGCAAGATCCAAGGGCCTGCCTCTCATTACAGCTGCAGACATCTAGAGAACCTTCAGTACAGCTCTCATGCTCCACACAAGCACCCACATCCATGCAATTCAGCAGTCTCTTACAACAAGACTCTGCAACGAATACAATACTTGGCTTTTGAATAATGCCAACAGAAATATGACATTCCTCATCCCTTTTATATATCCAAGCACAATTTCCTTTCTCAAAGGTCTGTGTGGCATGTACCAGCTCTACATGCACCAGTGGAAGCTCCACTTGTAAAACAGTAAAGTGCTACATCACACAGAAAAACCTTACGATGCCAAATCCAACTCAGTCCTTTTCCGTTAGTTATGGTACCTCGAGCCACTAACCTACTGAGTTTCTTTACAACATGAGATCTTCACTCCCTGACATGATACGAATGCCAAGAATACCTGCAGTGGAATTAAGCTGAATTTACCATGTTCTCTTGGGCATACTAACTCATTATGACAGAAGTTAATTTTCCCAGTGGGGTTCTAGTGAAATGAATTTAATTTTGCAAAAGCCTACAGAAAATGCCTTCACAAATCTAATATTCTAAGAGCAACTGACTTCATGCCATCAAGAAAACTGATGAGACGTGCTATTTCCACAGCCACAAGGGTTTTGTGGGTTAAATGATAGTGACAATCCGCACTATGCAGGTCTCAGGTGTTTATTTCTGAGCACATGAAATCAGCCTGCAAAGTTTTCTTCTTTTTACTTCATAAAAAGAACACCTCAGACTTGCACAACCCAGTTAATATCTGCAAACTATATAGGTCAAGAAGAGGCTGAGGCATTCTTGGTTTCCTACAATGTAAGACTATTACACTGTGGCAGACTTCCAGTCTCTCCTTGAGGAATTCCAAAATAAAGTTCTAGCTTCAACTGAAAGGTTCCATTTGTCTGATCCTGCCAGCATTTTATACATTATCTTGTCCCCTTCTTTGCTTCTGCTGATCTCAAAAGTGGATTGCAAATGTACTGATTATTTTCAGCTTACCCTTGTATGTGCCCCTCAACCAGGAATTTAAAGTAGCTAAAAAGGAGGTAAAAGGTATATGGAAGTTTTTCTTTTAAAACTGTAGGGAAGCTGAGGCAGAGAACAGATGAGTCAGTTACCAAATCATATGGACATCAGCAGTAGAGTTGAGAACAAGTACTTCAGACAACTCAGAGTAGGGAAGAAAGGCTCAGGAGGAAATTCATCTTTCTGACACCACTGAGACCAGTTGAGGAGTCCTCTCCCTCCATTCAGCTGTGGTAAAGCTTCTGCTGAAGTCTTGTCCAGGCTGGGGCAACACACTTGGGAAAGATAATGGGCGAACTGGAGAAAATCCAAGGGAGAGGTCCAAGGGCTAGAAAATAATCTGTGGTAAAATGAAAGTTGTGGTTAGTAGAGAGCAAAGGGACAAGCATGATAAAACGTTGTAACATCTGCTCTTCCTGACCACAATGGTTAGAACAAGGAATAATAAGCTTAATTAAGTTGCAGTCAGATTGAGAGAAATTCACTAATAACAATATGATGGTGCTGGGAAAGCGTAGGATGGAATTTCTATCTTTCTGAACTTCTATCCAAACAGTGTGACAGTATCTGCTCCCCCTCAAGACGCAGGCAACCACATGCCCCTACAGCACCCTCCCCAACTTCAAGTGTTCTCAATTAAGGGAAAAGGAATATTTAAACCCCATAAAATTACCATAGTAGAATGGTGTAATGTGGCCACAGTAATATTAACAAGGAGAGCATCATGTGAAGGCACCCAAAAGCAGTAATTATTCCAGTGATGTCATTTGATCTCTAATCTGCAAGCTGCAGCACAGCTACCAGGAAAAATCCATGTTAACCTGTGACATTCCAAAGGTCTTTCCTGATCAGTTTTCCTCAAAAACAGGGATTTACTGTAAATAATTGTACTATTGGATACAGCAGTTAAAGCACAAGAACTACAAACTACAACACTGGAAACAACTCCTGTGAGTTCTGAAAGAAACAGTAATGGATGAAGACAAAGAAGAAAAAAGCTTCATAATTCATTATTAAGATGTAATTTGAAACAGGATTTAAACAGGAACTTGGGTTTAGGGCCAGTACAGAACATTCTCAAAGAGTTTCATATGGAAAATGCTGAACCGATAAAATTGAACTGCAGAAGAATGTACTCATTTTCTCAAAATATGACAAAAATACTGGAGCCCTCACTTTGCCTTTGAAGTACTTCCTTTTTCTTCTATAACCTGGTTGAAATGACAATATAATTTGTTCAACATTTCCAATGGCTTTTTTTTTTTCCTTTCCAGAATTTTTATTCCATGGAAAAGTACATTCTGACTCACAGTGAAAAGACATTTTTGAATATCAAATTTTCCCAAGAAATGTAAACTGCATTTTAATCAATAGCACTGGTAAAGAAATAGAAAATGTTTTCACACTGAATAGCTTAAATGAATGACAGATACTGTCAACATAAGCAAAAGCACTTAACAGTCAAGTGTTTTAGGAAAATAACTTTTTCCTAAGTTACTTCCTAAGATTCCAAGAGGAATCTTGCAGAATAAGACTATCTGGGTATGCAATCTTTTATTAAAGTGCAAAAGCAATTTACCCTCTAGATCCCTGCTAATAACAACACTTAACTGTGAATCATGTGCAACGTGTTTTCAAGATAGAGTTTCTGTCACTGAGCTCCAAGTGATTTATTTCTGCAGTTGCCACAGGGACCTAAGCTCAAGACCCAGAAGCAGTGAAATGCGATAGATCAGAGGGTGCCATAACCTTACCAAGTAACACATTAATCCAAAATAGGGTGGGATGATAAAAAGATTCCTGTCCAGCCAGAATCTGGGAACAGGGAGTTCAGAAGCTGTGAATGTCCACAGCTTCTCCTGCACCTCATGAAAACCAGCAGAAAGATGATAAAAGCTTTGCTTGATGAGGGGAACAGAAGTGCAGTGCTGAGGAATATAATTTGCAGGAAAAGAACAGTCCTGACTGACTCTGCCTTCTAGGGTGTTCATATCAAGATGAAAGAGCTGCCATCCACCAGCTCTGACTCAATTAGTCTTCTTCAGTCTTGACGATGACAAACTAATGCCTGAGCGACACATGGGGGGTGCAAGGGAAACTGGGACAGCAGGCAATAGCTGGAAGAACTGGCAAGGCGACTCTTGCAAGGACTGATGCTTATCTATCACAGCACTAGATGGGCAGTGGTGTTACATCACTGCACTGCATTCTATCAGTACGGGGAATAACCCACACATCAGCTGCCACTTCCAGTATTAACTGAAAATGACAAAGAAGAAAAAAAAATGAAATCAGCACACGCACACATACACAAAGCTCAATGAATTCAGAATTCAGTACATTAGAGACAGGTAAATACACCAGTGAGCAAGCTGCAATTAACCTTCCCAAGAGTAAAAGTACTATTTACTTTCAGTTTAACATTCCTAAGGATGCTTTCCAGGGCTCTCTACAGGGTATAAACATTTCCCTTCACATGGCACTTGCTGTCAGTGACAACACTATTACCATCCAGTCACACTTGGGTCAGCCACACTCTGTTTCCACACGAACAGAAAAGCCAACGACACTTTTTTAAGGTGAGACCTCCTCAGTCAGCTGCTGACAGGTTAGGAATTAACAGTAACTGTGAAACCCCTCTCTTACCCCTTCCAAAAGCAGTCTGCCCTTAAAGACCAGTACTGCACAGGGGCAGTACCATCTGCTAGCAAAGTCCTTACACAAGCTAGCAATACAAAAAATCCCTTTGGAGTGCAGCATGGTTTAAAGAAACAAGGTTTGAGAAGTGTTTTAAGAGACACCAAAAGAAGATGCTTGAAACCTCAACTGCAAAAGTACATTAACACAGCTCCTACTAGAACTTGAAAGTCTCCTGTCATCGCTATTTACTGCTCCTCTTCATCCCAAATTCCCCTGACTCATTCTCCCAACTCCTGAATTTTTATACTTAAGCTCAGAAATTAATGCAAGCCATTTGAATGCAGACAATACAGGAAAGCTCTGTGGGCTTTTTACCATTGTTGACTCACACTTCTGCCTGCACTCCCTGCCCTGCCCAAGTAGCAATTTACGCAAAGAATTTGCTGCTTTAAAATGGGTCAACGACAAAAAAGGTTTTTCCTTTAGTTCCCAATCTACCAAAGAAGTTATCTAAAGTCACCAGCTGGAATCAGAACTTACCTCACAGATCATTTTCGGAAAGAAGATAAGGAAAAATCAGTTCTTCTGAATCCAAATGTCCATCTTTTCCAGCAGGCATCAGTATCCAGCCCTCACAAGTTCTGCCACTGAAAATAAAACCCAAGAACAACTTTTATACTTGATCCCCTTCCCTTTGTTTCCTATGAACTGCAGCATGTTAGCGCCCTCTGAAAAATCAAAGGATTGCTTTCCCAGGTGATATGAAAGGCTCTTAACCATTTCCTGCCTGGGCCAGCAAGACTCCTCCCAACTTCTCGCCACTGCAATTCACCCTTAAAGCACTAAAATAAGAGAAACCCATGAATCTTGCCTTGGAGATCTGCAAGAACTGGTAATGAGCTTCCAAATAACTCCTTTGAGCGTATCTGAACAAAGGATTTCAGCAGTGTCTCCAGCCATACACAGAACAGCCTGGCCGCACCATACCCAACCACCTTAAAAAGGGAAGCCACACAGTGTTGTCCTGCCAAGTAAACACGATTCCCTACCTGCCCTCTTCTATGGTGAGTGCTGCTGGGACAGTAACACCCAAGGGGCCTGGAAAGTGAGGAGCAAACTACTTGCCCGAAGGGATGGTCATAGCCTGAAGTCACAGGAAGAGAAACCACCAGCTCCATGAGCTGCCAGGGCACATTACCTCAAATGCAACAGCAGAGTAAAGACCTTTCCTTTGCCATTATTTAGTTTGTAAGGGGGGTGGGGTGTGTTCCCTTATTTAGTGATTTTTTTGGTGGTTTCCCCCCCCCCCCTCCATTTTTAGATACAGACGCTGAATTGGGTACGTATGAGTAAGGTGAGCAGGCCAGCTGTCCCTTCATAGATGCTACAATGATTCTCTATTTACATGGCAAAACCTCAAGATTTGGCTCATCTACGTTAACAGCAGGAGGAGGAGCACAAATCTCCTGCCTCCTGAGGTGCCTGTGGGGCACCTCCACCCTGAGGGTGAACAGCACCTCAGGTCTCACAGCTCAGCCTCCTCTCCTCCTTCCACCATCCCCAGTCAGGCTGCAAGCTGTGCCCGGCCCTGCAGCACAACCACTGCTGAACGCACACCCGCATCAGCTATTTATAGCGAAAATCAGGCTGAAGTGAGCTGTGTGAACCCAGGGACCAGGTGCAGGGCAAGCCTCCACACAGCCAGCACCCTCTCAGCAGTTTCCCCTAGCTACAAGCTCAGGCAGGTTTCCTTCTGCCTAGGGCATGATAAAGCCCTCGTTTCTATCGTCTTTAAACGCCCACTAATCGATGAGACAAACCCACACGTACAGCCACACGACCACTCCAGCCCCTGCCCCGCTACTGATCGAGCGCGGTGCCGCCTGTGCCTTTAAATGCTCCCAGGAGGCCCCGCCCCTTTCCGCCGTTGGACCCGCCCCGCTGCCGCGCGGCTCTTCCGGGTCTGCCGCTTCCGGCTCCGGTTCCGTAGGGCCTCTGAGGCGCAGCGGTGGTGGTGAGGGGCTGTGGGGTGCTGGGCTATGGGGTGCCGTGGTGTGGGGCGGTCCTCGGGCTGGAGCCGCGCTCTGGAGGGTGCTGAGGCACAGCTTTACATCCGCGGGACAGCGCCTGTTTCTCAGCCTTGATGGCAGGGGTGTAGCTGAGGCTGGGCCTTCTGCGGAGCGCTGTGGGGAGCCGGGGGGCGGAATGCTCCTAGACCTGTTTGAACTACCTCTTCTGTGCCTCTGCTGTGGACATGTTGTCTGTCTCTTGGCGGCCCGGCAGTTCCTTTGTGTTCTGAGGGTGTTGTATAGGGGTTTGCCTCTCCCTGGCCTGGCCACTGTGACTGGGGTTGCTTAGCCCTGTCGTACAGGAGAGCCTCTCCCCCCCTGCTCCAGCCCTATGAGTCCCACACCTGAGTCAAGGATGATAGAAGTTACCATGAGCATTGCTGCTTGGAGCATTTCATTCTATGCGAGTGTCTTTGTGTTCCTAAACTTTGCTTTTGATGTGTTGTGATATTAAAGCAAGTGTCGTATAATCTTAGAAATCAGATAGAAGGAGAATTGAACAGGTCAGTTGTGTTTAACAGGACACAGCTGGGTGAGTCATTAGTCTCCATCAGTTTTAATATTGGTTCTAGTTTTACAATGTTTAGCAATCTCTTTTGCCCATGATTCTTGCAAAAGTGATATAGGGAGCTCAACCTAATGAAATAAGGTAATGGGGTGTAATTCAAAATGGGGTGTAAATCAAAAGTGATTACACTTACTCAGGCAACTCTTTGATATGTCATTTATGCCTTGAGAAGCTTATTAACTTCCTTAGGTTTCAACAGCTGAGATAATAGTGAGACACACAGGAGCAAATCGCTTGCAAAGTCACAGGGTGTTCCCTGTTCAGGCTAACTGTGGTTATACCCAGACCTGGTACACAGATCTCCAGCAAAAACAGCTGCTAGAGTGAGAGTTAAATTCCTAACTTCCCCAGCTACACATTTCTGTATTGTGCATGTGGCAATTGGCACGATTCAAAGGAATTTGTGGGATAAGATCCATCTTTGTTATTATGTCCATTTTTGCTGTCATCCTGAAGTAATTTTCCCTGGTAATGGAGACATGTTGATATCCCTTCTTATACTGTAAAACAAGGCAGAGGTAGTGCAATATCTGAAGTTATGAGCTGCACGTATCTATCCTGGTTTTCCAACAAAATGAGCTAATTAAGCTGCTAGTCTGAAATGGAAATCATAATTTTGATGTTGATCAGAAACTGATTTTGGGGAGGATTTTGGTTAAAATAACATGTCTGCTTGCTTGTTGCCAGGCACTGGATGACCATACCTAAACAATGTCTGTACCACGTGGAGCTGTCCATGCAAAATGGATAGTAGGGAAAGTAATAGGAACTAAAATGCAGAAAACTGCCAAAGTGAGAGTGACAAGGCTTGTGCTAGATCCATACTTCCTAAAGGTAAAAGATGGTTAACAACTTGTCTTGCAGGTTAATAATTGTTCTGTCTGGAGGAACGTTTCATTGTTTTTGACGTGAATTTTTGATAGCTCTTTACAAGGCACACTCCTTAAGGAACATGCCTAGTGATTGTCAGTTGTGGGGGTGACTGCAAAGGGTGACAAGCAGTGTGTTGTGAGGGCACTTCCTTACAAATTACTGCTAAAGGTATTTGAAGTGCTTTGTTAATGCACTTCGTTTGATCTCAGTTGAGAAGGTAAGTTTTTGTTGTTTCACACTTTGATTTAATTTTTCATATTGGAGAATGCTGTGATTTGGAAAGTTGACATTAGTCACGTGTACAGTGAATTTTGTAGGAGTTTTCCTTGTATGCATAATTCTAGGCATAGCTAGTATTTGAAGCTATACTGTGATGTGTTTTATGAGCTTTGTGTTTATCACTTCTTGTTAATGCATTTCAAACAGGGAGGTTAAATTATTATTTTCTCCATTTTTAGATACAGAAACCTTGGTACATGCGGGTGGAATAAGTTGTCTTTGCTGACCAGAAGGTTACGGGTAGAGTCAGGTTTAGATAATCAGCCCACTACTCTATGCAGCAGAAGAACCTGTTAGTTTCTTTCTTAAAGGTTCTGAATCTTGCCACTCCAGTAAGAATAAATACTGACTTTTTATATGAAAGAAAACTAATTGAGCAAGAAAACTCCAACGACAAATATCAGAATACTGATTACAGGAATGGTGAACTTTAAACATAGTAGGATGAATAAAAATTAACATCACTTCTTGAATCACGGACTGCACAGGGAAGTCATTCAGATTGGAAGAGCCAAGGCAACTGTCTTGCTGAAGCAGTGCTGATGTCAAGCGTTCTAAGGACAGGAAGAGTTAACACAGCAGAACAAGAGAGCATCTAATTCAAAAAACTATATAAAGCTTTACTCTTTAGTGAAATATGGTTTGTTTTATATTAACTATATATTTGCCAATTGCTTAATTTTGAAATCTAATGCCACTGTTTCTTTTTTTCCTTCTACAGTTCTTTAACAAACGAAAAACCTATTTTGCCCATGATCCATTGCAGCAGTGTGTTGTTGGAGACATTGTTCTTCTGAAGGCTTTACCTGAGCGAAGGAGCAAACACGTGAAACATGAACTGGCTGAAATTGTTTTCAAGGTTGGAAAAGTCATAGATCCAATAACAGGGAAGCCCTGTGCAGGAACGAGATTCCTTGAAAATCTGTCAGATTCGGAAAATCTGACAGAGGCAGATACTACGTACCTCAGTGAAAAACTTCAGGAGCTTAAAGTTTGCTCAACAGACAAATAGGGGGGAAATATTTAAACCGAGAGCCCTGCTGTTGTATGTTACATGTTTCAGTGAGATCTGTAGCCCAAATAAATAGTAAATGTAGTTGCTTATAAGAAGAGATGTTACAGATGATAGGCACCTCAAATCTTTAAGTTAAAATAAGAGAAAACATGAGTTCAGTGTTAACAGTTCATTTTGTTGATTGTAGTTTTGCCCCAAGCCTTGACAGTTCTAAAAGCCAACTGCTCACCTGGAATGACTTCTGTATGGAGAAAGACAAGAATATAACTGTATAATGTTTAGGTTTGGTGGGAGGGTTATACTGTTTGATTGTTCTGTATTTCAGACAGTTTTTTGTGGTTTCTGGGATTACTTAAGATAATGCTATTAAATCTTTTAAAAGGAAGTGTAGAATTTTAAAACAAGCTACCTGCATGTGTCCTCATTTCCTCTTACAGTTGCTCATACCACATAGCAGTATCTTCTGAATTCCAAAATCTCTGACTCTCAAAAACACCCTCATTTGCCTTTATAATGGCAATAAGGTGAGAATAAAAACTTTGAGCAGCTTAGCATGTTTGCCTTTGTAACCTGCCCAAAGCAAGTATTTAGTTCTGCAAGAGATGGGTCTCTTTGAGCTGCTATCAGGAAAGAGAAGCTGATGGGAGCACAAAGCTGAAAAAGCAGATGTAAAGATGGTTATATTTAGTCTTGCCAGAAAACCTAATTAAAACAACACATTCTGGGAGAGGTACAGGTGCTGATTTGTTGCATACTTTAACATAAAACTAGAAGGCCTTAGCAGTTAATGATTAAAGATAACTTCATCCTGCTACAGTTGAGGGAGTCTTGTGTCCTGTCTTCCAGGACATAAAGCAAACCAAGAGTGTGTGGCTGTGCCAGCAGCTTTGTGTTGCCAACTCTTTTGTCAGATCTAAAGGGGCATCTGCCTCAAAGTGCAGCACTGTGGGGACAGCATTCCATGTCCCTCTATGGAGGGGAGCATGATATATCAAAGCTACGAGAAAGCCTTTTTGAAGCATCTGGCTGTGGAATTGGTCTTTGTTTAAGATCAGAAGCTAAATAAGGTTTATCTGAACAGACTTCCTCTGACCTAAAATATCTTTAAGAAACTGAGCCACATTATGGTGGTAATTGCGTTCTCTTTTATTATTTGCCCTTCAGTTTCTTTCACCTGTATGAAATCAGTTTCAGCTGCCTGCAATCTGCTACC